CAGGAAGCCAGCCTGTTCTCTGTGTCATGCTGGGCTGGAGAGAGGGGGGAGCAGAGTTGCAGGCTCCAGCAGCTGCTGCTCTTCCCACCACCCAGGTTGGAGCAGCCAGTTACTACAGGAAACTAGACTTCTAGCATCTGGTTATAGATGCTGCCAGTTTCCCTTTTTGACAGGGAGCAGCAAACAACATTCTGCTTCTGCTCCCCTTCCCCCTCCCCACTGCCTCTTTCTGAGTCACTAGTCCCTCTTGGATAGTCCAATAATCGCTTATATCCCTACTTGGAACCAGATTTTAATTTTAGTTACAGCAAAGTGAATTCAGAATATAACACTGAAATCAATGTGGATTATACTGTTGCAACTAAAATAAGAATTTGGCCCTTTGCCTCATCATCTACAGTGTGAGAGATACTTCTGTGCATTGTTAGCAAAACTCAAAAGACTAGCAAAATGTATTTCTAGAAGAGAACTAGTCAGTTATGCAAAGCAAGTCTGAGATTCATAGTCAATTTGTAGTCATTCCTTAACAAGGGAAACTCCTACTGATGTTGATTGGAGTAAGGATTTTAGCATTTTACTTTTAATGATGACACAGCAAAGGAAACATGCAGAAAAGCAGGATTAAAACCATTTCGAATCAAAGGGCCTTAAAGATGAAAGGCACATTTATATCCATCTGACCCACGTAAAAGTTAACTATAATAAATCTTCAACTTCATAATCTTCCTTAAATAATCACTAGTTCTTTTGCAGATGAGAAAGCAGGCAACCTCTGATTTACGAGCATTGAGAGCAGAGCTGGCCCAGAAGAAAATTCAGTCATCTTTAATACTCCAGTCAGAAACACCAACATTTTAGAAGGATAACATAACTTGTGATTCCATAATATATTGTTTAGAAGCTCAACATGTCACTTCACTGTATTTGTTTGTATGTTCCTAGTCAACAGTCTTTTCAACATGTACTATATGAGAACTGTATTTCTTAATTTTAAATGCCCTAAAATCTCAATTTTCTTATTGTAACTAATTCAATTACACTTATAAGGCATGCAATTTAACCTATTAGTGTGGTTATTTTTGACTAACAGCTAATCAAAGAAATCACATTATATTTCAAATAGTGAATTACCATAATGACAGTTTTATATATTGAAGATCAATATGCAATTATAATTTGAATTCAACCCATAATTGTAAATAAAAGTGTTTTGGGAGGTTTATTGAGGCACATATTGCTTAGTTTAACCCATAAATAAAACAGCAATTTTTACAGAACTAGGGCAGCAAAAATCTGGTTTCAGATATCTAGTTCATTGTGCTTTCAAATCCAAACACTGTAAATATACCTATTTCTAAGTTATCATATCAATTAGTCTACCATTACACAAAATAAGAAAAATACCCAAAATTGTAAATTTGCTTCCTCTTTTATAGTTACTTTCCTTCTCTTAAGCGTAGATGCATCAACAGTTAAGTGCTTCTGTCCTAGTCATGAGGTTGTAAATATAATCAAAGTCTGACTTACATGAAAGACCATTATAAACTTAAAAAAGCAACAAATAGTCTGGTAGCACTAACAAAACATTTAGATGGTATCATGAGCTGTCGTGGGCACAGCCCACTTCTTCAAATGACCGTGTAAACATGTACAGAACATGTAAAGCATATTATATTTACTAACCAAGTTCAGAGTGGAGGCAACAGGCATGTATGTTCCAGAGTGGAGTCTCAAAACTCTGGAAAGGATGTAGTACCGCCTCCATGTTAAATTTTTCCATGCTCTCCTGCTTTCGCTCAATTCCAAATGATATTAGCTCAAGCAACACAATAAAATACAAGAGATTAATGTGAAGTGGCTACAAAACTGACAAGGATATACTATTTATTGCAAGTGACAAACAGATTGGACATTAGTAATAGGATGTGAAAGTTCTTGCAAAGGAGAAAGTCTTAATCTTGTGAACCAACCTGTCTCTAATCCTTCCAATAAGGCCTTCCCTACAAATGAACCAAACAACTACAACCCTACTGCACTTCAAGGCCCTGAATCTTATGAACCTAAATTGTATTGTCTGGGACCAATTTAAATTTCAAACTCCAGAAGGAAGCGATTGTTTCTTTTCCATTTACACAGCATGAAAAACAGGAAGGGTGCGTCTAGACTGGTAAGATTTTGCACAAAAGCAGCCGCTTTTGCGCAAAATCTTGCCAGCTGGCTACACTGGCCGCTTGAATTTGTGCAAGAGCACTGACTTTGTAATGCACAAAATCAGTGTTTCTTGCACAAATACTTTCACGCTCCCGCTTAGGAAAAAGCCCTCTTGCGCAAGAGGGCCAGTGTAGACAGGGAAGAACTGTTTTCCGCAAAAAAGCCCCGATGGCTAAAATGGCGATCGGGGCTTTCTTGTGCAAAAGCGCGTCTAGACTAGCCACGGATGCTTTTGCACAAAACCACATTTTGCACTAAAGCACCCATGTCAATCTAGACGTGCTTTTGCGGAAATACTTTTAACGGGAAAAACTTTTCCATTAAAAGTATTTCCGCAAAATCATGCCAGTCTAGACATAGCCTAACAGTACTTAATAAATAAACACAGGGGAGTGGGAATCTGCGCTGCTGGGGTCCATGCTCTGCAGTAAGTGATACAGAAAACTGAGCTTTATAAGTAGTTTACTTAAAATTCTAATTCATTAATCAGCTTCAAGTGTTTCATTTTTAACGTTTTAATAAGCGCAAATGGAAATATATACAGCAGCAGATGATGAGCGAGACCACAAACCAAAGGGCCTTAATTGCCCTTTTACAAGTGTAAGGTATGGAGGGTTAATTATGGCTTTGCAGCAGTGTCCCTTTTCCCCAGTAGCAGCACTACATGGGACTATGGCACAAAATAGTGGGAGGGGAGTAGAGTGAGGCACTGTCCTTTCTCATCCCTACAGAAATTCCCCAGTCTCTTATATTGCTGAAATTCCTCCAGCGAAGGCCGGTTTCACAGGATTTTAAGGCAGCACCAAGGGTGAATGGCTACAATTTGTGATCATCGCCAACCCCAAAAGGCCAACTAGCTGAGGCTTTGTCTACACTAAGTTTTTTCAGTAGAAAATATTCTAATTAATGAGGGACTCATTAGCATGAGTTGCATTGGCATTAGCATCACTGGCGTGCATATGGGGTATGCCCAGGCACACCCTAATGTCTTAGGGTTGCCAGGTGTCTGGTTTTCTACCAGTCTGTTTTTTTGGGGGCTCTGTCCAGTAAAAAAATCCAAAAAATACCAGACGTGCAATGTCTGATATTTTCTGGTTTTCCGACTGGGT